TTTTGCAATGCAAAAAAAAGAGGATAATAATCGCTTGGTATGGCGGATGCATGCAAACTTCCCAACCAAGCTCCCGAATTTTCTGGCGAGTCACTGTAGATGTGTGTGGTGGCCTAGCGTTGTCTTGGTGGAACACGACACCTCTCCTGTTGGCCAATTCTGGCCGTTTCTGGTCAATTGCTATCTTCAAACGGTCAAGTTGTTGACAGTAGAAATCAGAATATAGCGTTTTGCCATATGTAAGCAACTCATAATAAATAATCCTCTTCCAGTCCCACCAAATGCATAGCAGAACCTTCCTGGCCGTTAGTTCTGGTTTGGCCACCGTTTGAGGTGCTTCACCGCTGTTTGACCACGATCGTTTTTGCACAGGGTTAACGTATGTGATCCATTTCTCTCCATATGAGATAGTCCCATTTCTTAAACGGATGGTGGTTTAAGAAATTTTAAGAAATGGGTCTATCTCATTTCATTTGGCCAAAGCTTCGCAAATGGAAATTTGATCCATCCTCTTTTATGTTAATTGGTGTGGCACCCAATCATTGAGCTTCTTTTTGAATCCAGCTTTGTGTAAATGGTTTAAAACAGTTTTATGGTCGATTTTTAGCTCCTAGGCGATGTTACGACTGCTAACATGCCGGTCAACTTCGATCATTTCTCCGATTTTATCGACATTTTCGACGAAAAAATAATGGATTTCTTTTTTCCCAACCTAATATATATTTTGGATCAGAATAAAAGTTGATGTCCTTCCTATCAATAATTATCAATATTGGTCCAAATTTTACGATAGAGCGCATATAACGGTTCCTTTGTATTTTGGGGAGATAAAGCTCATTTTTCGACCGACTTGGTTGTACTTTCATATTACTCCAAATCACCAATATTGGACCACTTTTTCCGATAGCCTATATAACGATAACGGTATTTTGGGGTTTCATTTACCCGAATTGGCTGCAATTTCGTTGTCATTTTGGATGTCAAATCTTCCTACAAGAATTTTCCAAGGCAAATCCGATTGTCGGTATTTAAAATGTCCAGCAATTACTTTAAATGGAGTGGTATAATTTTTTGCCAGTTCCTTTAACATACGCATCAATATCAAAATAATTCTGCAAAAACGCATTTTTAAAATAGTTTTTCTTATTTTGAATTATCGGTATTTCCTTTGGTATTTCCTTTGCTCTTAGCATATACCTAAGAGCATGTGAAACCTTTATATTTGGATGATATCACAATATGGAACTATATTCATAATTTTGAACCAGCATGTCTTCTTACCTCACATAACGCAAATCATGCGGATAGAGCCTTTAATAATTATTTTGAAACTTATACACAAGGTGGACCTCCACCTTCAGAATAATCATATAACATGCTCTCTATTGGTAAATGTGTCTATATTATGTATAATACATATTATATATGTATATTATTTATAAAAATTGTACAATTTTCAAAATCTGCTACGCATTTCCTAAATATCGGAGTTCATTATAATTATGATCAACAGTAACATTTAAGTGAAAAAATATTTCCTCACGGAAAATGTTTCCAATTTTTGACAAAATCATAAATTCGTTAAAAAACAGTTGTTCCAAATCGAAAAACAGGAGGGGAGATATTATGGCAAAAAATATACGTCTTCACGATTTCGTAGACGCACAACTTGTTTTCCATGCCTGAGTGACGCCTCGCTTATTTCAACAAAAACAACGAACAATAATTATACTATGCTTCTGCTAATGTCATCCGTGTTAAAAATCTCAAAAAGAACACAGACCTCCATTTTCCCAAATCAACCCCCCTAGACATCCGCAAATATTTAGTTTGTTTTTACAAAAAAACGAACGACTTCTGTCTATTTTTCCTGAGGAGATCTCTCTATTCCATATTTGTTTGTTGTTGCTGATGATGGTGTTTTGTTGTTGTTTTTGTTATTGTGTGTTGTTGGTTAAGTGTATTTTTTATGATCAACAAATGTCATAGAATGACAGGAAGACGACGAGCAGCGCTCTGGCATTGCTTGGCTATGTAGCACAAGCGATTTTCCATAGATGTGCTTCGACAATCGACCATTCGATTGACTGCACAATGGGATGAATGGGTATCGTCATTATCGTATAAGTAATTTACGAGCATTTTCGGATCATATATTGATTGTGAATGCGAACACATAATGATGAGAAGATGGCAATGATATTTCACGGTGTGTGTTTGTCGCGATGGAAAATAATGAGGTCTTGGCTGTAGTTGTTGGAGGTGTGATTGTTTTTCATGGCGTAGATACATTGAAAATTGTTAAATATTGTGATTGATCGCTAAGTGGCAACACATATATTTAAATTAGAGAACCCTACATTGTCCAGTTACAATAAGCAACAAATGGTTATTTGAATTAAAGATAATACTAGAAAGTAGTCACTAAGAATAATGTAGAGTTAGAAGTTACTAGAATAAGATAAAAATGTATAAAAGAAGATGTAACGAGAATAGAGTTTGCCAGTTTGTAAAGTAACGTCTGCCAGTTTACGAAGTGTTCGCCAGTGTTAAAAGTGTTGTAAAGTTTGTGTATAAGAAATAAAGTCTGCCAACAACCCCGTATCGTCCGTGTTTTATTTATTTGGTGGTCATCAGCATCGTTCGTCGATGCACCAGAAATTTAAATTTCAACAGGTTATGGGCCCAGGAAGCTCTGGATAAAGGATTGCCCAGTCGAGATCTAAAAGATAAAGTACTGTTCCAGGAAGGAAAAAGTATTGTTCCAAAAAAAAAAAAAAAAAAACTGTGAAAAAAAATCCATAAGTAAAAGGACAACATTGACAAGAGTACTGTGTGGAAAATGAGTTCGTCAATCTACAACATCGAAAAGTTGGACGAAACAAATTATGACTCCTGGAGTTTTACTATGAGAGCTGTTTTAGTCCACCAGGAGTGTTGGGACGTCGTAAGTGGTGCCGCAAAGAAGCCCGAAAAAGATGATGAGCAATGGCTGAAAAAGGACGAGAAAGCGCTAGCGACCATTATATTGAGTGTGAATCCAAGGCAGATCTCCTACATTAAAAATTGCAAAACGTCTTCGGAAGCATGGATCACACTGAAGGATGTCCACAGACCAAAAGGCCCAGTTCGTAAGGTAACTCTTTTTAAACAATTATTGGGCATGCGTATGGATGAGGATGACTGCGTTCAGCAACATGTATGTAAGTTCGCTGCCGTAAGTGACAAATTGGCCGAAACTGGGATCGAGCTGCAGGAGGAACTCTTTGTTATAATGCTCCTAGCCAGTTTGCCACAGTCATACGAAAACTTTGTAGTGGCCCTAGAAACGAGGGATGAGTTGCCCAGTTTGAGCGCGTTGAAGATCAAGCTTGCAGAAGAGGGGGAAAGGAGAAAAGCAAACGGTACCAGTGGCGTAGAAAAAGTCGAGAAGATTTTTGTGTCGCACAACAACAAAAAGGAAAGTCCCAGAAAATTCTACAACAACAACAACCATAAGCGGGTAGACAAGCGTGCAAACAACAACAACAATGAGCGAGCCCATAAATATGTGCACAACAACAACAACAAAAATAATGGAAATTGCTACAACTGCGGCCGTAAAGGGCACTTCGCTGCACAATGCAACAACAACAAAGCAAAGGGGACGACACACACACATTCATACAGTGTATTGTCATCGACAAGCAACAACAACAACGTGCTAAACCCTTCAGTCTGGTGTGTCGACAGTGGCGCCTCAACACATTTGTGCTGCGACAGAGGTATGTTCGCGAAATTTCAAGAACACAGAGAAGAAATAAATTTAGCTGGCGACAAGAAGATCATAGCGAAAGGCAGAGGCAGCGTGTGGCTTGATGAATGCAAGGTGATGCTCAACGACGTGTTGTATGTGCCCGAGTTACAGTGTAACTTCATTTCAGTGGGCAGAGTAGCAAAGAAAGCGGCCGTAAAATTTAATGACAATGGGGCAAGAATTATAGAAAGGGGAAAAACAGTGTTATGTGCAAGGCGAGTAGGCAACATGTATTTATACAGCCCGCAAAGGAGAGCAAGAGAGTACCTGCATGCTTATTGGAAGAAAAGATGTACAAATATGGAAAATCACATTAAGGAGGGGATATATAATAAAATACAGGTAGATCGTAAAAGAGGTAAAATAATAAAATTTGAGGATCAGATTGTGGAAGCATTTTAAAAATTAGGCATGAAATGGGATCAATGAACATTTTGAATTATGTATGTCATAAATATAGTTTTATTGAATGTTAATGAGAGGAAGAAAATGAACATAGTGTGTCTATGTATAATTTTAGCATTGTAAGTCAATGTATGAAGATATAGGTATGTAATGAAATAAATGTATGTATGTAGATAAGTAATATTGAAATATATGTGTTGAGGAGGGGTGTTAAATATTGTGAATTATCAAATTGGCAACACATATATTTAATAGTAAGTAGAGATCCCTATGTTGTCCAATTACAATATGATGTAGTAACAATTCATGGTTACTTTAAATAGATAAATAAGTAATCATTAGAATGAACTAGATTTAGAATTATCTAGAATAGAATTATCTGGAATAAGTTCAGAAGCAGATAAAAGAAGTTGTAACATAGAGAGTTTGTCTCAGTTTATAAAGTTGCGCTCAGTTGTAAAGTGTCGTGCTCTCAGTTGTAAAGTATTGTCGTTATAAGTTTGAATTGCTGCTGTGAATAAAGTTTGAATACCCCCCGAATATAAAACTGTGTTTTTAATTACTGCTGTGGACATCGCCTGGATACACATGCGGAAAATACTGGAAGACCACAGAGAAAAAAATAAATATTTGGGTCCAAATTGTCGTCTAATTCTTGTGTACGTTTCTGAATTGGCAGGGATATTTGAATTTGTTTTGACGAAAATTAATAAAAAAAATTCTTGTTTTCGCCCAATTTTCTGCATCTCTTATAGTGCAGAAGTTATGTTTTATGTTCTCCATAAATACTCCCACTTACCTCTTCGTGCCAATGCATGGGCAGGCATTATTTGCATTTGTGTATATCCTCGACCCGAGCTGGTATCCAAAATTGTCATTACCTCATCCGGTGTATACGAAGAATTTTCGATACTAATATCGTCAATGGAAAGTACTTGATCGCCAACTGAAAGAGCACCGCATCTGGGAAAGGAGGAGAAAATATTTTTTATTTCAAATTCAAGAAATTATCCACTGAATAATCTATAAATATCCGATAAATATTCGATATTCAATGCCTAAATTTTCTCTTCGTTATCTCTTTAAATTCTGTTCATCAACTTACCGATCAGCTATGCTCGCTGGCAAAATACTGGCAATATAAACACCCGCCGAACTGACTTCATCGATTTTTGTATGATCCGTAAGGCCGGCAGCTGCCGAATTATAATTACACAATACCAAACCCAATTTATCATTCATAGGACGTTCGATTTCAATCAACAATGGACCCATTGAAAATTCCACACTTTGTACCACCGAAACATCATATTCAATGGTGAGATTTGTATAGCCCGATATATGGCCACCACATTTGATGATCTGTTGGGCCTCGGCCAATGTTTTGCCAATTAGGGAAACCTGAAGAATAGATAAAATTATTTAATATAGAATTTGAAATATAAGAGAGAACACTCCGAGAGATAGACGGGGCAGAAATAGGCGAAGCCTGTCTTCTTCCATAGATTAGTAACTCTTCTATACATAGAAGAGTAGCTCTTCTATCCATAGAAGAGTAGCTCTTCTATCCATAGAAGAGTAGCTCTTCTATCCATAGAAGAGTAGCTCTTCTATCCATAGAAGAGTAGCTCTTCTATCCATAGAAGAGTAGCTCTTCTATCCGTAGAAAAGTAGCTCTTCTATCCATAGAAGAGTAGCTTTTCTATCCATAGGAGAGTAGCTCTTCTATCCATAGGAGAGTAGCTCTTCTATCCATAGGAGAGTAGCTCTTCTATCCATAGAAGATTACTTCTTCTACCCATAGAAGAGTACCTCTTCTATCCATAGAAGAGTAGCTCTTCTATCCATAGAAGAACAACTCTTCTATTCATCTATCCATAGAAGAGCTACTCTTCTATCCATAGAAGATAATCTCTTCTGTCTGTAGATTATGTCTATATCTTCTATCCATACAAGGATAGCTCTTCTATCCATAGAAGAGTAGCTCTTAATTCATAACTCTTCTATTCAGAGGAGAGGCTAGCTCTTCTATATATGAACTCTATTTTCCATACGTAGAAGAGTTTTCTCATATATATATATATATATAAGAGATAGCTTTATCTCTTCTATCTATAGAATAGCTCTCTCTCTCTCTTCTGTCTATAAAAGAATTCTCTCTTTTATATAGCGAAGCGAATGATAGAAATTTAGTACTACTCACATTATCCACCCGCAGCAGACGATCTCCTGGTTTTATCCTTCCCGTCTTATAGACCGGACCATGTGGCCGCACATGTGTTACAATTAGAGGATAATCAGCACCACCACGCAGTGTTAGACCCAGACAACCGCTTTCACGTTCCACTGTTATTTGAGCCAACTTCGATGTTACACAAAGGCTATTTTGGGAAACTATTGACGATGATGATGCGCCGGTGATGCGACCCATCGTTGTTGTTTGTGGTGATGGCAATGGCGTAATGACAACATTGGTCCATGTGTTTGTGTGTAGAGTTGTGGGGTGATGGAGTGCATCACCGAAGTGTTGAAAGATGAGACCAACATAAAACGTTTGTCGTCATCGGCATCGACAGCAGAGTGAGCACGCGTTTGTTGCAAAGAATTATGAATCCAAGTGTTACATTCGTGATAAACATTAGGATGTTTGTTGCATTAGTGTCAGAGAGTGTAGAAAAATCGGAAATGCAATGGAAGGGAAGAAAATAAATAAAGAAAAACACATATTGTTAAGATTTATAAATTTGATTGATGGCAAAGATTTCAAAACCATTGGCGTAGGTAGGCTAATGCAAAGGACAACTTTACCAAATGTCTTCTCTACGCCAATGCCTCTAATAAAAGTTTTAATAAAACTTAAATAGCCTCCCGATTAGTTCGTAAATATTTGTAACAGTTTTATTTGCCAAGGCCTCCCACTGACATTTGTCTATTTACTCACTGTATTCGGGCAGGGAATATTCAATTTCGACGACGGCAGGACCATCTGCTGAGCCTCCGCCGCACAGCATGCTCATTATGTGTTGATTTGTTAACCCAATTGTTGAGATGCCATCGATTTGATGTAGACGATCTCCAGGTGCTAGGAAATCGGCAGCATGACCCAATGGACTTAGGGCAGCAATAACAGGTGGATACGAAAGGTCGTTGCGTTCTGCAAAAATAAAAAAAACAACAACAAAATTAAATAAACAAATGAAAGAGAAAATAACATAAAAACACACGATTATGTAAACAAAAGGAGGTATTTCCCCGCAGAGGGGGTTGGTTACACACTATTTGTTCTCCGAACTTTTCGAATGCCGTCTTTCCTTTGCAGGGCCACATATCGGCGCTGGCCATGATATATCTGTAAGATTTCATCTATTAGATGATACATGACAAGATGATGGCGGTATACTGTGGCCGCCTCACGCTATAAGTTATCGTACGTCGTCTGCCGGGTTTTCTTGTCTTAAATTTCAATTTAAATAAATAAATTTCCCTGTCCTGTCTGCTTGTCTTTGGTGTTTTGTTATTGTTATTTTTTTGCATGTCTTGTTCTTATTGAAAATTTTACGTATTCTGCCAAAATTTTTTTTAAATTTTTTTTTTTTGCTTTTATTGTTTTTGTTGCTGTTTTCTTTCGTTTTACCATTCATGCCGTTTGAAAATGTGGTCACTTCCGTTATGTTCGTATATGTCTGGCAAATTGAGTCGATATTCAATTTGCCAAAGCCAAATACATACATACGTAGTGTGGACAATAGGGAAGTATGGTATATATTTTTTTAATATTTTGAAATTTATTAGAAAAATACGTAACAGTGATAGCTTCGAAAATGTTATATTTGACCAGATGGTGAAAGAGATATATATCCTAACCTTGTCTGAGGATGAAAACACTTCGATACGATAAAATGTGCCTCATCAAAATATTGGTTTTATACCTCAAGTGTCTTGTAACGAAATTCAGTTTTTTTTTGCCAAACGGGGCATCTGTAAAAGGAAAGTGTTTACTAATATAGCAAGTGAAAGAGGCGTTAAATTCGGCCGATTCTACTATTTTAGTATTTTCGGATTTCAGTATTTGTCTGTCTCTGAAAATCGAGATGGAGAACGATCCAAGACAATTTTAGGTATTTTTAAGGTTGTTAGCAGCAGTTCCCAGCAAAAATGCTGTACTTTATCATTTTATACATTTGTGAAGTTTTTTGTCAAATTTTACAATCGTTGTATTATGTTGTATGTTATTTGGTATTCCGAATTACTGGTAGATAAGAAAATTGTTCAAAAAAATTCTCTATATAGGTCCATGTTTTTACATATAAATTTCTGTATGTGGCCCAATTGTGCAACCTGAATGTACTCCCAAAACTCCAACAACCTACTAGATGAGAATTTCCAATGTCTCATTCCCCATATAAAGGTTTCGACCGATTTAATGATGAAGTGTTTAAAGCGATCGGCCGGCCGAACGAAACGACATTTGTTTATGTAGAAAATGGAGTGCATATTAAATAGGTCATTCCGATACAAAAAAACACCTTCAAATATTCGCTGGAGACCCCATTAAGTGTATATATTGTTTATCAGAATAAAAATATGTCGATTTATGCATGTCACAATAGAGCTCACAATATGGTATTGGAAATGGGATACATATTAGCCAAAGTGTCGAAATAGTCACCATATAACGGTGCCCCCACTATTCAGTATTTTGTGGATTCTGAGCACGCTTTTTAACCGAATTGGCTTTTATTTGATTTAGAGAATTTTTAATGCCCTACAAATGATGAAGTGTTTAAAAAGAAATGTTAAAAATATTCGCTGGAGACCCCATTAAGTGCATATATTGTTGAAATCACAATAGTGCTCACAATATAGTATTAGAAATGGGATCAATATTAGCCAAAGTGTCGAAATAGTCACCATATAACGGTGCCCTCATTATTCAGTATTTTGTGGATTCTGAGCTGGCTTTTTAACCGAATTGGCTTTTATTTGATATCTTAATCGATATATTGAGGGTTTCATGGTTTTGGAATAGCCCTCATATGATATTTACTTAGCTGGTTTTGTGTCAGAACATTTGTTCCATAAGCCGAGTTTAAAAAAAAAAATCCAGGCGCGACGGTATTGTGCGCAGCTCTTTCAATTGGAAGATCATGCTTCGAGATGTTGTCTTCTACTTCCATCGAATTCGTGTCTCGCTTTTATATGCCTTTTGAGCTGGGGTATCCATTCTCACAACATGACCTAGATACTTTCCTTCATAGGTTCATTTTGTCGACCATGGCTATCCCCCATAAAAAAGTCCCGTTAGATTTTTGGTATTTTTAATGTCCACTTTATGGTAGAGGATACAAAAGGTTAGGCCCATCCGAACATAACTACTGCTACTTATAATTTACATTATAATTGTAACAACTTACGCCGTTTCGATTCTGTCCACATTAATAATACAAGTCGGATCTCTAATCTACTGTCCGAAGTCCGGTATTTTAAGGACTTAACCAATTTTTTATAGACATCGGTCAAAATTTTATTGAATACAATTTGTCCCCATATCGACTTATTTTAGCTTTTTTTTTAGTGACCTTAAATTTAGAACTTAGAATTTAGAATGGAACTGATATTAATAATGTAATTTACTTCGTGGTGGATGGTGTAATATTTTGCACCGGTTGAATATTGTTCTGGGATCAAAATGAAATTTCTGCATATATTTTTACATCAAATGTAGTTGCATTGGCTCCTGGTTTTAGACTTTGGTTTTTAGCTAACATACCTAATCGAATACATATTTTTTGTTTTTCGATTATTTTAAACTGTTTACACCCTACAATTATGTTGTGAGGGTGTTATAGCTTTGTGCATATAGGGTGGGTTCTGGCCAATGAAGAACCTAATTGTTTTTGGTTAATATTTAAGGGATGAAATGGACCAAAAACTTTTTTGTCTGTTTTTCTGGTTGCTCTAGAGGTCTGGTTGCTCTAGAGGTCTAGAGGGTGGAAATGTCGCCCTGATTGCTTTGAAATTTTGTTCCGGTTATGGTCAAAGACGACGCTTATAATTTTCGGTGATTTTGGAATTACATTTAGGGGGTACAATGAACCGAAAACTTTATTTTTCAGATTTTCTTGTCGCTCTAGAGGTCATTACTATATGCAGGGCATCACATATTTTACACAGTGAAAGTGATGTGACCAAAAACTTAGAACTGCTATTTCAATGATGATGATCGGTCAATATTCCGAGGGTCATATCAACCAAAATCTAAACTGACCAAATTTGTATTTTATGGCGTTAATATTCCCCTCGGGAAAACAAGATTTAGAAAACATGCCTGGGTTAGAAAGTGGAGTTGTTGACCTATAACCAGTCAAGAGGGAGCAAATATCGTGAAACGTTGTTCAGGCTCAGAATATAGGTCTATACTGCACCGCTCACGGGTACCACGTATTTTTTTTTTAAATTTCAAATTGGATCACTCAAAACCTATAGGAATTGTATATTTACACCCTGATACATCCCAATATCCAATAGATCTATTACTCATTCGCATCGAAAATCACGAGACAGAAGAAATTAAATATTGCCGGTAATTTTTTGGTAATAAAAATAAGAAAAACAAATTGTATTTTCTTCTATTTTTTTTCGAAACTTGGCGAGGGTGATGGCGATATCTGGCATTTTTTTCTTGTGACGATTTTTTGGTAATAAAAATAAGAAAAACAAATTGTATTTTCTTCTATTTTTTTCGAAACTTGGCGAGGGTGATGGCGATATCTGGCATTTTTTTCTTGTGACGAATGATTTTCACTGCAATTGCCAATTTGTGTGTTTGTTGCTATTATTTTTTGTTTTCTCAATTTTCTACTTGCTGGGATTCATTCAATTGCATTGATGTTCTACTGCTGCTGGCGATGATTATTCATACTTTAGATTACGCTACGTTTGTTGTTGTTATTTCAGTTTTTACGCATGGATAAGATGTCGCCAAAATGAAATCTTAGTGGCTAGACAGTTACAATGAAGACATACATATATTGGGGTGTAACGAGGAATTTTGGGGAACAAAAGGATAACATATTAGATATTTTAGGGAGGTCCTTAAATGATGAAAATAGGGAGAAAATGAACAATTAAAAGGAACATTGGCTGACAAGTCTACAAATTGGTCGATTTTTGACTATAGGCCACATAAAATGACATCGTTCCTTTTAGTAGGTATTTTGATGGTCCTATGCAATTTTTCAACCAAAGTGGCCATATTATTTTGTAATTTGGCATTGCATATTGTTGTGTATATAACATCTTCATAGAACATTTTCAATATAAGTCAATGCTTCTACAAAGCCCCCACACAAAGGTCTGCGTCCTTTTCGGTATGTTGAAGACTCTAGTCCAATTTTCCCAAACTGAGTATTCGTAGTTTGATGTTTCCTTTTCTTCTGGCAATGCCATGGTCACCATATAAAAGTTCAGATGGATTTTAGGGGTTTCAAATTTTCTCATCATATTGGAGGATATACAAGTTTGGCTCGGACGATCTAAAGAGCGTTTTATTCTTTGTATGCCATGGAAAGACTCATATATAAATAGTATTCATTAAATACATACATATTATTTTTGTTTTCAAAACATATTAGCATACGGAACATATTCCATATGTCTAGACATCTAGGCCAATTCATTACCATAATACAATGTATAGATGGATGGATGTTCTGGCTCGTAATATATGTATTTATTTATTTTCCTTTAAGATTCACGTCGCTGGCAAAGACAATTTTCTTTAAATAATGAATTTATCAGAGGTGTAGTTGGCCTTTTAATGGGGGAAAATATTGGATTTACATAGTTTTTGTTTTAAGATTAAAAAAATATTTTTATAGGTAATCTGTCATGTTTTTCGTCACATTTGTCTAGGTTTTTGGTATTGTTTTTTTTGTATTTTATTTATTTCTTTTCAGTTTTGACTAATTTATTGTCAAATTATAATATCATAATTGTGTCAAACTAACGGAAAATATCAGACGCCTGTAATTATTCATAAAAAGAAATGTTGAGGTGTGAAATGAATTTTTTCAAATGGAAAAACGATGTCAGGCAATAATGAAAATGAAAAATATATGAAAATAAAATGTATTTTTTTATAAATACAATTAA